AAAATAGGAATATCATGAAATCTAGAAGAAAGATGCAAAGCAAAAGGGATAGCTAGTAAATAGGACATGCACTGAAAAGCGAAATAGTAAGCCACAACATTGCCACTAGCTATCTTAGACAAAAACCCTACATGGCTAGTCTCACAATGGTATGAAGTAAGGCACGACTCAACTATCTCCTAACCTATAACCCTAATACTCGACCTCCACATCTTCCTACATGCTAAGGACTGACAACGATATATGATTATCAAGTCTATAGCACAGACAGAGGGGGGGAAATGTAAGAATAAGATAGAGCAAGTGCAGCTAATTAATTGACAATTGTCATATGTTATGTTGCTCGAACTCGTCAAAAATGTTGATGGGTATTGTATGTCGAATCTTTCAAAAATAGAACTTTTAAAAATCTAATATAATTAAAAAAATATTTTTGAAGAATTCGAGTAACATAGAATATAGGCCTAACTACTGAACGTCACCTTCCTAGAAGGATAGCTTAATTTTCCAGTTGTAATGCTCAATCCTTCCAAATTTATATGACATTATTTTCATTTGAGACATCTCGAGAAGTTTGACCATTTGACAGTAGTAATTATTCTAAACTGCTGATTTAAAATGAAACTTTAGGGAATTTGGACTCACCCAAGATTTGTCCCGAGTGCAGGCAAACTATATATCGAGGAGTTAATTAATACATTGATAGGTGAGGCAGTCGCTTCAAGTTGTGTTTAATGTCTTGGATTGTATTCCTATAACACTTGTCTTGTACGCCTAATATACTACGTAAGTTAAAATAAAATTTAAAGTTTGTAATTAAACAAATATTGTCACATAAAATAAGATAGAAAAGTAAGAAATAAGTGAGCAAATAGTGCGTCTGAAATATCACGTCAACCATAGAAGACAAGAGGGCGATTTTTAAAAAGCATTATAAGTGAAGCCTTGGCGAGAAAAATTACTAGTATCAATATTGATGGGAGATAATAAATATCTATCAAAATAATTAAGATATGCACACGATAGTTGGGACTTGGGACATCATGTACCTTACTTTAAAAAAAAAAAAAAAAAAAAAAAAAAAAAAAAAAAAAAAAAAAAAAAAAAAAAAAAAAAAAAAAAAAAAAGGCATTATAATAAGACTGGATTGTTAATTTCAGGGGCGGAACTAGGATATTAGGTATATGTTCGATCGGTCGAATTTAATAACTTTTGTTTAAATTCTATATTTGTATTAAAAAATTTATTAAATATATATAAAATAATTACGAATTCAGTAAATAAGACGAGGTATGAATTTCGTAACAAGTTCAAAACAAAACTCATAACTTCAAATCTTATTTCGGGGGTCGGCTGATTGAGGGGGTGCTAAGGTGCTATGATTGAGTTTCAAAGAGAAAGCAAAGCGTGCTGTGGCATATGGCCACCACAAAGCAAAGGAAAGAAAGAAAAGCAGACATTTGTCATTAAAAGAGTGAATTCCAAGAAAGAGGCAGAAACCTCCATTTCTCCACTCCCACTAATAACCATTGAGATGAAAAGGAATTTAGGGTAGGTGAGTTAGTGGCTATTTGTGGTCTTCATTGGTTCTTAGGGCTTCCCAAAATTCCATGTCCAAACCCTATCCAATCAAAAGGCAACATATGTGAAGAACTTCTAGTAACCCTTTCTTGTTATTCAATCAACTTTAGAAGAATCTTTCCCTTTTCATATTGGACCATGGACGCACCTTTGACAAGGATATTTCTAGTCTACCATAGTTGTATATAACAAGCGCAAATCTCGAAAGTATTGGAACGAAATAAACTTAATAGAGACGAATTTATATAGAGAATTAGTTCATATACAATCAGACATCTCTATAACATCATTCATATATAACAGTAATTCACTAAAAAGAACAAATTTCATTTATAGCCGGTCGGTAGAAAATATTATCACTCGCTAGCCATGAATTGATCTATACAATTTATAGCCCCAAACAAATTATAATGGCTATAGCCTAAATTGATCTTCTCTGCATACTGTGTAAAGCCTAAATCGTTCATCCACTTCTCATTAAAGCTGCTGCATGTTCCTTAGGCTACCGTTGGTTTACTCCGAATTAACTTCATCATCCATCTAATTTCCTTTTTTTTTTTTTTTTTTTTTTTTTTGAACAAACATTTCCTGTTGGTTCTCATTAAACAATTGTAAGGCCTAAATTGTTTATCCACTAGTAGAAAATATATGACTTGGCCATGATTAATTTTTGTCCTAACCTCATCATGTTTGGTTTTTGCTTCTGTGCACGCTAAAGCTAATAAGAAGCAAGTTTAAGAGCTGGAAATATTATGTGTTCTTCACTTTGAATGAGGGATTTATATACGCAAAGTACTTATAATTAATTGATTTCGTTGATGCTACCTATGAGGTTTCTGTCTTTTTCGAGTTAATGGTTAAGGACTCAAAGCCTCATGTATTGTAGACCAGAATAACAAGGGGAAATACTTTATACTCTCTGCATTTTATTTAACTATTTTAACACGAAATATAATAAAGAAAGAAATATATTCAAAACTTATAATTTTAAATATGCCATAGTATTTTTTTTTTTGGATAATGGCGTTCGGGATACATTAAGGATATATTGTAAAATGCACGATACACTTTATATATATAAAATTTATACATCGTAGAACAATCTATACACTTTGGATACACAAAAGCGCTCGAGATACATTAATGATATATTATGGATACATTGCAAGATGCACGATACACTCTATATATAAATTTTATGCAATGTATATACTAAATAGACTGTCACTATACAAAAAATATACTAAAATAGACTGTCACTATACAATTTATATACAATAGACTGTCATTGTACAAAATATATACAAAATAGACTGTCACTATACAAAAATATAGTAAATAGACTGTCACTATATAATTTATATACAATAGACTGTCACTATACAAAATATATACAAAATAGACTGTCACTATACAAAAATATAGTAAATAGACTGTCACTATATAATTTATATACAATAGACTGTCACTATACAAAATATATACAAAATAGACTGTCATTATACAAAAAAGACTGTCACTATATAAAAAATATATAAAATAGACTGTCACTATACAAAAAATATATAAAATAGACTGTCAATATACAAAAAATATACAAAATAGATATTTTCGAGCTATTAGATGCAATAAGTTTGGGCCGAAGGGCCATTTCATGTCAGTGGAAAAAAACATGGGCTATTAAAATTTTGAGGGGCTATAGAGGGTAGTTTTCCCCACTAAAAAAGTCAAGTTTTTTGAGAACTGATTTTTTAACTTATATTTTACCTCTTTATAACAACTTTTTACCTATAACAGCAACAACCATATTTATAGCAGAACGCTCTTTGTAAAATTACCCCTCTATAACAGCCATATAGAATCTTTAAGGTTACTAATAATAATTCTAAATATATACACACAATCTTTTTCATTTAACTAAGTTTCTATTTTGCATAAGACATAAGATTTCAAGATTTGCATATGATATCTTTTCCATTGGACAAATGCCAAAAAATATTTAGATAGAAGATTTAATTGTTAAGCTCTTAGATTGTTTTCAAGGGAAAGCTATTGGATACCTTTTTGCTGAAAATTTGAACAAAAATCTTCACAAATTCAAGCGTTATATTGCTAGTAAAATAATAAAATCTATGAAAGAAGCTACAATTACAAAGTTCCTCCATTAATCTTGAAAGAATTTATTTTCCTAAGTAGCTTTAAAGTGTGTGGTTTAGAGTTTAAATTTTTATACGTTTAGTTATGAATTTATTAATAATGTATTAGCGTTCTTCAATACTTAACAAGTGAAATATGCATATCTTTTGAGATTTTAAATTTGAATAATTTTCTTATCTTTTATATGCAACATTGAAAAAGGAAAAATAGTTGATTTTGGGATAATTTTTATCTATAACGGCCAAAATAATTTAAACCTCAAATGTTGTTATAGGTATATAACAGTCATTCACTATAAAAGTCAAAAACTATCGGAACAAACAAGACTGTTATAGAGATGGTTGACTATAGTCAAGACATAATTGATTGATTGTTGCAAACAATGTAGGAGCACTATTAATTAACAAAACTTTATCTTCATCTTCATTTTTCTAGTTGCTTCTCTAAATTGACCCCATAAGATAATAGTACTACTATATACATGGTTCTAGAGAAAGTGATACTAAATTCCTTTCAATTTATGTGAACTTATTTTTTTTTTAGTCTGTTCCAAAAAGAATGACTCATTTCTAAATTTGAAAACAATTATGCTTAAACTTACACAATTCTACCCTTAATGAGAAACTTTTATAATCACACAAATACTCTGGGGCCCTTTTTAAATTGTTTAGGACCACAAATTCCAAAAAAAAATATTTTTTCTTAAACTCCGTGACTAGTGCGTTGCGCCAAAAAGGTTTACATGGAGAAATAGAAGGAAATACATGTATAAGATCATATAACCTGTACCTAACAAAGAATAATATTAAGCTCTTCATATGGAGGTCACTAAAATTTGTAGTCAAGTGAGGACAGAATGACAGAGTGGGAATGTGTCTGAATCTCCTTGGCCCCATTATCCTAAGTAGAAAATGGGAGCAAACTGTATTCATCTCTAATAATATAATTTTGCATGAAGCTAGATAAGTTTATATTATACTATAAATTATAATAATACAGCCACCTACAATACTAACACCACTATCTCAAATAAACACGTTCATATTTTCCTCTTCCAATAAATTAAATATATATTTAGAAAAACCATGCAACTGAAAAAAGTTAGATTTCGGAGTGCCTATAAATAGGAAGACTACCTTCAACTTGTCATTCACGATCATAAGTATTTCCTCTCTTGTCAAGTGACACGTTCCTTAGAAATATTGCATTAACACAAGTAATTATTATTCTACTTGATAATAGACTGCATTTGGAAGTTTAGAATGGGGTATTCCAAAATTATAGGAGCAGCATTATTGATATTGCTCTTTGTTGATCTTGCTTTTGCTGCAAGATTTTATGGCGCAAGAGGAGGCGGTGGAGGTGGCGGAGGTGGAGGAGGAGGTGGTGGTGGTGGAGGGTCAGCCTTGGGTGCAGGTTCAGGTTATGGTTCAGGGTATGGCTCTGGGGAAGGCTCTGGATATGGTGAGGCTGATGGAGTGTTTGGAAGTGGCGGAGGTGGTGGAGGTGGCGGAGGAGGCGGTGGTGGTGGTGGCGGTGGAGCAAACTCGGGAAGGGGTAGTGGCTCTGGATATGGCTCAGGGTATGGATCGGGTGGAGGAATAGGAAGGGGTGGTGGAGGCGGAGGCGGAGGTGGCCAAGGCGGTGGCGGTGGTGGTGGCAGTAGCTCAGGAAATGGTTCAGGATATGGTTCAGGTAGTGGTAGTGGTTCTGGTTATGGAAGTGGTGGTGGAAGAGGAGGAGGCGGTGGTGGTGGAGGAGGAGGTGGCGGAGGAAGAGGTAGCAGCAGCGGCAATGGTTCAGGCTATGGTAGTGGCTCAGGGTATGGATCAGGGTCTGGAGGCGATGAACCTTGAAGTATTAGATGAAGTTCGTTTAAACATAATTCTATTTTTGCATATGGATTTAGAAGTTTGTGAAATAAAATGCATGGTTTCACTTGCCTTATTTCTGTGGTTGGGGAACTTTGCATGAGTGAGTGTAATGAGCTTTTCACTGTATATTTTATATTTGCATGTTCAATACCATAATTTTCTGGCTTTGGTTAATAATATACCCGTAATGAAATTTTCTTTTAGATGTGTTTGGTACAACATTAGTCATTTTTCAGGAAAATTCACTTGTGAGCAGAATGTTATAAACACTTACACATCATTATTAATCTTTAGTACTAAATGATTTTTCCAACAGTCCAATTTACTAAAATGAATGCAGTAATTAGTCATAGAATGGAAGTGCAATTCTGGAGCTTACCCAAGTCTAAACTGATTCTCAGGCGAATTATAAATGCAGACTATATATAGAGAGAGAGAGAGAGACTGTATATATATAATTGTTTCATATATTGTTGCTAATTGATGCATAAGCTTAAATAGATGTTGATATTGATGCCAATGACCATTTCTCTACAAGACATGATAAAGGAATAAAAATAATGTATCGTACCGATCCAAGAAGCCTCTCATCTCACCTCAATATGTAACCTACTGAAAAATTAAAACTGTATCGAATGGTCATATATTCAGTCAATTGAATCAATCGCAATAGTTTTATTGCCGTAAGCTTTTGTTTCAAGAGAACAAAATTCATGCACTGTTCTCTTTCACTGAAACTTCTCGTCTGCCATGGATCAGCCTTTCACAAACTCATCACTGTATAATTGTCAACATAGTTCCAAAATCACCACATGAAATTCCAGCTATCCATTAAGAAAATAATAAACAAAAATCTAGAAATAGAAATCACCCACGTCACCTCTCAGAAACTCTAGCTACTTTCTGAGATATCATGGACTCGGCCATGCTGATCGCTCTTTGAGATCCTGTAATAGTTACCTTCCTGCAAAAGTCAGGAAGTTTTTTAAAATATTTGTATGCTATTTATATACTACATATATCAACACGCAAACAGAACAAATAAATCGAGGAAATCTTACCTGTCTGAAGTACCTGAAATGAAATCACCCCTATCTGATATCTTTATTCTAGCTCCACTTTGCTGCAAAGACAGCAGATACTTTAATTAGAACATATAGGACAGGAAAAGATTGCAACTTCTTTACGCACCTGACTGATCTCCATTATACTCCTTCCGTTCCGGCCAAGCACTAAACCAATATGCTCATCAGCAACACCAATAGTGACAGAATTGTTCCTATCTTCCTGCAAAACCACCGTAGTGCAGGTCAAAACTGATATCTAATCTGACAGGTTTAAAAATTTTAAAAATAAAAAGCAGAATCTTATCCAGAAACATGATAAGAACATTTCCATTATCAGCTTCAAAGCCAATACAAAGAAAAAGAATAAGTTGACTTCAAGTAAAAACAGGTTGCAAATCCAGTCAAAAGCATTAGGGCCAAAAAAATTGTGTCCTCACAGAATTAGACTGGACGTTGTTCTGATATCTGTTAGCCGGAAATCTCCCTCCGACTCCATTTCGTGGTCCATAGTTCATTCCAACATAAACTGCTAAGAAAATAGGCGGAAGTAGAAGTAGAATTCGTAATCAGAATATGACATTAAAAACAACTTTTAGATGCTGCATCAACTACTACGATGATGTCCTAAATAAAACACCTAATAATTTGGAAAACATTACAAAAGAGATGGCCATTACTGTAGTAGAAAAGTACGCCAAACAAGAAACTAGTACTGTCTTCCCTCCAATAATTCATTTACATGCCCCATGTACTGTAGAAAGCGCTACCAAAAGAATTGCACAAGCACAGATAATGATTAACACAGGGGAGCAGATCCTATTCCTCCTGAGCTATCACTTAAATGGAAGTATTACAAATTAACTAAATTTGAACAATACCTGCATAAGGAAACGGAGCATTCATGTTCTGTATATAATGAGAGTCTTCAGCCAACTTATGTAGAATCAATTCAATAGCCCGCATCTGCTCCCCAAGAGTTCCAGTCACTATTACTAACCTATCATGCAGTCCTGGAAAATTGTCATCCTGAGATGATATTTTTATGCCAGCATGAGAGTCTTCAATAAATGCCCTGGAAAAGAAAACCATATGTGTTAACACTAATTTGATGATTTCGTCGACCATCTTTGTTCTGCATCTCAAAGTTGTACTTAGAATATAGTAAAACCTGTTCTGTTACCTTTCTCAAAAAAAAAAAAAAAAAAAAAAAAAAAAAAAAAAAAAAAAAAAAAAAAAAAAAGTAGTAAAACATGTTTCCTTCATATAATTTTGGTCGCAGATGAAGTTCACGCACTTTCACACTATGGTTACAACTTCATTAATTAAAATAGTCAGTGCTGTCTAAGGGAACCCAGCCAGATCAACAAGAAGAATTGAACCAAAGCTTCTAATCGAACATACAATTTGTTTTAAAGGGGTAATAAACTAGGATGCAATGCTTGCATGGCTCACGCAGTTGATCAAACTTTACTTAAAGTGAAAAATGGGAATATCTTTCTTGTCAAGGTAAAGTCAGCTAATTCATTCCAGCGCAAGGCTATGCCACTGCATACTCTATAAAACTGCAAATGCAGGTTGATTATTATCATTATTAAAAGCAAATCAAGCATCTCCAGATCAGTAAATCTTTGCTCGGTGGAAGAGCTAGTTATTTTAAATGAGTTATAAGACTATGAAACCTGCATGCATTTTCAGGAGCAACGTATTTTGGGGGAGGGGGAGCAAGCAAAATGCTTATAGGACAAAAAATTAGGAAAATTCATACTTTATCATAGCTCCTCCCTTCCCAATAATTCCACCACAAGAGCTGTTGGGCACAACTAGTCTAACTTTTGATCGCGGGTCAACATTACCACCATCTTCAACATAAGACTGAATTGGAACAAGATAGTTGTTTTAATCAATCTGTCAATAACAGTACAGCAAATAGGATTTAAAACATGATATTACCTCACATAGCAGTTTATTAAGAATAAAATCAACTGCCTTGAGTACATCTTCAACAGGCCCAGATACCATTACAATTCTATCCATGGTACCAGGGAAAAATTCATTGTTGCGTGACAACTGAATTCTTGCCCCAGAACGAATCTGAAAATCACTGATTGTTGAGCCACCCTTTCCAATAATTGAACCAGCCTCAGCATTTGATAGAAGGAACTTGACAGATATTGTGTTCCCCTCATGGTCTGGAAATAACACAAACACAAAGGAGAAACATCAGCATTAAGTCAGAAGGGAATGAGAATCTGTGGCATAATCAATTAAAAAGTTTGAACAAATTACTGTAAACATGACGAAAGAACTTGATGCTCGAAATAATAAAATGTAAAATGAAATCATATACACATTGCTAGTGTAATGATACCAAGCATCTTTACAGGCATAACCCCTAGTAAATGAAAGAGAGTTAGAACGTATCCTTACTTCTCAAAAGCAGCAAAAAAGACACATTCTTGTTTTAGGTACAAAACCGATAAGATACATGATCTCTCACTACAGCCCATTAAGCACATACTATCATCACAATGCAGGAAATCAAGTCAACCAGAAAATAATCAGACAGCATTTGACACATAGTTAAAAGTATATGCAAAATATAATTTTGTAATTACCAAATCTCTGAATATGAGGAAAAACAATGTAGCAGAAAGATAATTCTTTTAATTGGTAAATCTCAGCCTGTTAAAGACATTTCTTCTCGCCACAAAATGGATGTAAGATTAGAAATGCCTACAAAGAATTATGCCCATTCACTGTCTGACATGGTTCCTTTGACCTTAATGAAATTGCTGCTTTTAAGGTAAAACATTTGGCATAAAAGAAAGTGACTAGGAGGACTAGAAAATTATTATTAGCAATGATGTTACTGAACCTACTAGGTTGCTTAACTTGTAGCTTTTGTACATGCTTGAACCTCCTTGTTGCCTCCTTTTGCCACACAACACTAGTCTGACTTATCAAGAGGGGGAGGAATAGTAAGAGACGCATCACCAAGGTGCATTGACGCATCAAAAGAGAGTTCTTTTCCCACGGCTATATAGTTAATAATGGTAACAATGCAGTTCTGCAACACAATTAGATGCGAGACAGGCTTTCGAGATCAAGCACCTTTTTTGTTTAGTATTTCCGGAAGCAAAAACTTCTCCTCCAATCCGTAATGTAATGTGTTTGAAAGACAATATTCTATTTGGAAATCAATAACGACCTCATTAATAGCAGCACATATTTAGAATGTCAAGGCTCCACGTAAGGAATCAAAATGCAATGAAGCTCAGTGAGATACATTATGTGACAAGGATCAAAATCTTTGTCAAATAGCGTGTGTCTTTAATCAGAAACACCATGTGACCAGGATTGCAGCTCTCTCAGCTAAATATGAAGATGAAAAATGGAAAATGAGCCTTCATCTCAAGACATAGGAGAGGTCATGCCCTTCCAAAAAGTTATCATAATATCTTTTATAGAAGTTAAGGCTTCCTTCCAACAGAAACTAAAAAAAATCAATTATACCAAGAAATGCTTCTCAAGTTAATTAACACAACTAAGCTAGCCAAAACTGTTTTCGTCTCAAGACAACAAACAGGCACGCTGCACAGAAATGAAAGAAGCGCCAAGACATCTGGTTGAAATCTCAGACTTCAGTCCAGTAAATACCAAGCTTACTAGTCTCATTCTAAAGGGTCCACCTCACAAACAGAATATTGAGCATGCAACAAAACTACGCAGATATGTACTGTATGCAGGGAAGTACTTATCATGGTTGAACCAAACATCCCATCATTAATTCACAAACTGTCCACAAACTTGCAAGCTTCAATTATCCTTATGGAGTGTTTGGCTTGAAGCCCAAAACACTCATTTTGAATTTAGTTTATCAAAATTGAAGGCAAAAAAATCCTGTTTTGCATCACTTTTTGTAATTCTAAAATTGAAAGACTGACATCTTTTCTTATTTAACTCCCTAAATTTCTAAATGATCCTTTTTTTTTGGGGGGNGGTGTCGATTGTTTGGATCTGATGGCCGGAAAATCCACCCCCTTCAATCATACAGTTCGGCATGGACATGCTGAAGCTGAATATCATCAAATTAAAAGAAAGGAGCTGTGCCAAAAGATTGAAAAATTTGATCCTCATCATCCTAATTCTACATGCCCCATGACAAAATGGAGACCACTTCCTAAAGATATGGACCTTAGGGTTCACTTCAATGACAAAAGGGATACTCAACACCTTCAGAGCAGATACAGGACAATACCAATGTGTCCCATGTCGAGCATGCAACAACAACAACAACCCAGTAAAATCCCACTAGTGGGATCTGGAGAGGGTAGTGTGTACGATCTTACCCCTACTCCGAGGGAGTAGAGAGACTGTTTTCGAAAGACTCTCGACTCAAGAAGACGAAAAGAGACAATATATCAGTATCATCAACAGATACCATAGGAATAATAACAGCATCATAAAGACCAGAAAATAGATGAAAAGCATCAGCCAATAAATAGACCCGACACTATGAAAAATGAAAGAGCAGTGAGAACACAACATTAACCACTGGCAGTCTAAGACAAAAATCCTACAAGACTAGCCTCACGTAGGTACGAAGTAGAATGTCGAGCATGCTCAACATCAAATTATCCCAAAATATCTTGTACAAGCTATTGCAAAACCCTCTGGAAATTGAAGTGAAGAATGTTAGCCCTCCTATAAAGCATAATGTCTAGCAACGAATGTATGCGCAAATGTCCGAGCAGGCACTTCTGCCTATTCAGTCAAGGGAAAAGGGTCAAATTTACCCTTCTACTTTCAAATATTGACTACATTTACCCTCCATTATACTATCCGGTCAAATTTAACCTTACGGTTATAGTATCTGGCCAAATTTACCCCTACCTCTAGCAAACTTTTAAAAATTACCTCCACTTCTAAAGGCAACCCATAATAGCCCTAGAATATGTACTCGCGCGATGCGCGGTGAATGTAAAAGAAATTAATCATAACAAATTATAATTTTAAACACTATCTATAGCAAATTGTCTATTAATACTAAATTTATAAGATGTTAAAAATAACTTCTAAAAAAAGTTTAATATAATACTCCTTTCTATTAAACATACTTGGAGTTTCTCAATTGTATTAATCGAAACATGAACTAATACATTCATGTTATTCCAAATAAAACAAATTACGTACTATACATAAATTATAGCATTCCACAAAAACACAATCAAATATTATAGTACTAATTATATGCTTCTATAAATGTTTCAATGGATGTTTCAGAGATATTATTAGCAATTAAAATAGAACAAATTCTATTTCTCCAATTTTACTCTTCCCAAAAAGTATGTATGGAATCTGGACTGTATCCACTGCACTGATGTGAGATCAGCTTATTATATTTGAACTCCAAAGATTTTCATTGATCGTAATAACAGGAGAGTACATTAAAAAAAATTATTAACTCTAGGAAATATCCAATCACCACTCAAGAATTAGTTAATTGATCAAACCAACTTACGTATTATTTTATCCAAAAGAATACAACTACTAAAGTTTAGCATCAGAAGAATGTAGTTTAAGCTTCTGTATGGTTGAGGGTTTTTTTGTGGCCATTTACTCGTTCAATTAAATCAGAAGTCCTTTCATCTATCTCGGCAAGCTTTCCATTGTCAGGAAGTTTTATTCCTCCTTTCTATTTCTCCCCATTGCATAATTAGGTTCATTAAATTATTTTCTTCAATATAACAATGTAGCATTTCAACCTAGTTAAGCTTTAATTTTTTTGCAACAACTGACTTCAAATTGTCAATGTAGCTGCTTGAAGCAAAAAAAAAAGTGCCTTTGATAAAAGAAAGTTGGGAGATTGTGGGTAATCATTAGAACTTGGGGTAATTTTTAAAAGTTTGCTAGAAATAAGGGTAAATTTGGCAGCAATACTGCGTGAAAGAATTTGATCACCTAGTCCATTTGTATCTGATCAGGTTCTACTTACTCAAGGTACTTTGCATGACCATGTTACCTTTGGTCCTAACTGCTATACATAATATTTTTTTATGACACTGAAGTGGAAACTGAGGATATGGATGTTCAAGACAAATGTATCATATCCCCGCATCCTTGTTATTCCATCTATGTTCCAAAGTGAATATCTTTATCCTAAAACTTACGCAGCAATTAGATGGTATGCACACCCTTAGGAAGAATTGTTTTGCTTAGAATCCAATAGAACATTGATACAACTTTTCAACAATGTCTTGAGGAGGTAGGCAGCCAACTTCAATTGGATTGTTCTCTGAATGTTCCTATTTTCTTTAAACCTGGCTAAGAAGAAAGAAATGAAACTCATCTTGATATGACTCATTCAATCTTTTATATTTAGTTTTGGAACTCTTTTGTATCACTATGGGTAGTCGATAATCTTTTTTTCATGATAGTGGTGTCTTTGCCAGCTTGCATGCACCTCTACTATTCATTGGACTTGCGCGCACCTGACTATTCCACTATGTAGTTGCTACCTCCCACTAGCACAAGTATCGGCTAACTCTAACCACCAGGCTTAGGCAGATGAGAAGAAATCCTTAATCTCCAAAGTTTACACCCACTTCAATGTCCACAAGGCCACACCGTTGAGTGCATTATGTTTAGTCTACAATCTCAAGGTCAATACCGAAATATTTCTACCTTATACATTTTTTGTTTCCTCTATCTTAACTTAGCTTAGTTAGGTTAGATTGAATGTGCTACCTACCTCACGCATTGCTTCTAATTTCTTTCTTTGTTTAACATAAAGCAGCCACCTTTGTTTTAAAAAAAGGATAATTGCACTTTCGAGCCCTCAGTTTCTCATTTTGGTCCTTGTGATATTTCACTGCGCATATATTCCTTGAATTTATTTCATCGTGCATGTATTAGCTTGAATTTATTAAAACGTGTGTTATTAATTAATTCAACAGTTAATAATTGTTAAATTTGTGAAGATTCTATCAGAAGAATCAAAAATGCATATTTCAATTAATTGAAGGCCGAATGTGCTTAACAAGATATCACAAGCATCAGAATCAAAATTTGTCCATATATAAGGGAATAAAAGTGCAAATTCTCCATAAAAATCTAAAGGAACTTGCTCATGTTGCAAGTTCACACAGTTTCAGCCGTAAATAGTCAACAATTTGCAAAATCAGAATCTAAAACCGCATTATTAATAAAATTTAACAACAGCTAAACAACATAGAGCAGATCCGAAACCTGAAGAAGGAGGAGGAGAGAGAGATTTGCGAGGCGAAGAAGAGTGCTCCTGCAGACCTTCAGTAGACGAATTGTAGTCAGATTGTGCTCCTCCTTCCATTGCCATTATTATCAGAATAAATTATGTGTGTAAAAATACAGAATTTATAGAGAATATATGGAGAAGCAGAAGTTGAAGCTGAAGATGTGATTATGTAAATATCTCTCCGAGGAAATGGAGAGAGAGAGAGTGGAAGCATATGCTAAGGAAGTGCTAATATAAAGAAACTTCAAAGAGAAATAGACTTTTCTTTTTTCGTTTTTTATTTCTTTTGCAACTTGTTTCCCCTTTTGTTTTTGCCAATAAAACCCTATGTACAGTAATTTACTTCGAGGTACCCTATCTGATTTTTCTTTTCTTACACAAGTTTATCGAGTGAATTTGTAGGTTACAGTAGTCAAGTTGTCATTGGATTTGAACTCGTGTGAAAATGATTAATTTCGTACTTTCTTAAATTATGTTTAAGAGTCTAAATAACAGATGCTTTAAATTTTTCACAAAAATTATATTCGAAATTTAGACTCACTTCTTCAAGTTTATTCAACAATGATGATTATTTTTACAATCTAATCTTCACCATCCAAATTTTATAAAATTAGTACTCTAACCATGATTTGAGCTCCAAACATAACAACAAATCAAATTTTGTCGACTAACAATCAAGAGGTTATTGCGTGAAAAAGATAAATAGATATATTCGATATACTTTTTTATTTTTTCAGGTGATATGACTTAGTGATAGTGAAAGTAGTGGAAGAAAGTATAAAAGGAATAAATAATGATTCGTGATAATTTTCGTGATAAACATTGTTAGTAAGAAAATTAAATTTATTATTGTTTCTATAGCTCCTCTAATTGGATGTGCTTGTATGTACTTTTTTTTTTGGTAAACTAAATAATTTTAATTAACTAATAATTACATCACATCCATGTTTGTTTATAGAGTTGTCTAGGCGGTCAACATTGTAACCAAAAATACTAGCAATATTACATTCCGTAGTTTTTTTATCAAATGTACCTAAGATATCGTCCAAACTGCATTATTAGGTATTAGCAAACACCAAAGAAACTACTAAAATCTTTGGTTTGTTAAAAAACTTCGTCTTTGCTTCTTCTTTAGCTAGAAGGTCTGCCACTCGATTGTGCTCCTTGTAGTTATAGCTAATAATTGGGTTCCCTGGTTGAGCTATCAACAACCCGCATTCAAAAATAATAAAATTATAAGGCAACTGTTTTGATTTCAACATATTAATAATTTTCACTGAATCAGTGTTGATGTGTAGTGGAATCAAGTTTAAATTCCCCTGTAATTTTAAGACCCTGTAACAAAGCAGTTAATTCAGCTAGGTTATTAGTGATCTTAGGAACACCTTTCATGAAGCCTACTACCCACAGGGGCGAAGCTACGTTGGCCCATTGACCACCTTTCGCCGAAAAATTATACTATGTATAAGATAAAATATTACTTGTTGTTGATTAAAAATAGACTTTGAACACCCTTACATAGTCCATTGGCAATTTGAACACCCTTATTGAATTTCCTGACTTCGCCACTAACTACCCAGTCTCTATTATTATCCCTGAAGACCCCACATATTCCTCTTATACCTGAATTTCCAAATGAAGACCCATCAGTGTTGAATCTTATGCCCAGTTGTGTTGCTATTAGTCGCATAATGATATTCTAATGCCATAGTAATCAGAATATGGACTAAGATGGGATCCCTCTTGTTGTTGAAGAGATTATTGTTCATAGTGAGCCATATGCTCCAAAAATAGAAGGGAATGAGCAGTTCCCACCAGATGTTATTATTGAAATCTTTGTTCCTCATATTTGACCAAGTGACGTTCCAAGAGTTTTGATCAAATTAGAGGGACTATACCGGAGGTTGATTAGTGGATTTAAGGCACAAGTTAGCACATAAAGCCTTGGCTTTATTGCATTCAAAGAAGATGTGAGATATTGTTTCCTCAAAGTTGTTACAGAAGGAGCAGATGGGGTTTATGTTCAGCCCAATGTTGTGGAGATACTTACCAGTTGTCACGACCCAAAATCTATTAAAGGTCGTGATGGTGTCGTACACCACTGTCAGGCAAGCCAATAATAAATATTCAATCAGGTTCTCATTTTAATATTTTAAAATCATATTTTCTTCCATTAAATAGTAGAAGATAGAATTTACAGAGTAAATGATAATATTTTTAACAATTTCACTACAGAACAACTCATAATCACCCCCAAAACCTAGTGTCACAAGTGCATGAGCATCAACTAGGAATGTAAAATAAAATACAGCATATGTCCGGAATACAAATTTGGATAAGAGAAATATAAATACTTTGAAGGAGACTCTTCAGGTTGTGGGTCGTAATGTGGAATGCAACTCACGTAAGTCCCCGCATGCATACACGCCTCTGCTCTCACAAGGCCACTAGTCACATACGTACCTGCATAAAAATGTGCAGCAAGTATAGCATGAATATGTAATCAACGTGTACCCAGTAAGTATCTAGTCTAACCCGGAAGAATAGTGACGAGGGGTCGACATAGACAATTACTAGTGGTCCAATAACACCAGGTACAGTAAAGAGATAAGTAAATATGAGGCAAAGTAAATAAATGATGGATATCATCAAATAGATCGGCATAACTCAAATCGGAAAAACTCACAGATATACTGGTTTCTTGCCAAATATTACGCACGAATCCATGAGGATATGATATAGAAAATGCCGAGGCGTACGGCCCAATCCAGCATAAATATTTAACATGTGCATTGCCGAGGGTCGAACGACCCAAACCATAGATACATCTATTAAACTGATGAGGCGAGCAGCCCGCTCCCATGAGAGTATGGTACATAAATCCTGTCGAGGCGAACGGTCTGATCCCATAAGAGTGTGGTACATAAATTCTGCCTAGGCGAACGACCCGATCCCATTAGAATAAGAAGTTTTACTGGGTCCTTGACCCCACTCACGAATAAACGTGTGAGTTGTAATTTCTTTAACAAAAACCTTTCAATGAAACATATATACCACAAAAATATGCCGTAAGAGGAGTAAAATTATTCGCTGACTAATCATGAACTCGTGAAGTCTCTACAATAGTAAGTCTAGTCTCAAGTAGTAATGTAAAAGATATGAATTTCATAGGTGAGAGACTGCTCAAATAGTACAGCTATAGCATGATGTGAACCTAAGCCTACACGGACAATAACATGAATGTAGCTACGTACAGGCTCTCGTCACCTCCCGCATACGTAGCCCCCATAATAAGTAGCACACATCAATATATAATACATAGGGGTAATTTTCCCCTCACAGAGTTAGACAGGAGACTTACCTCGCTCCGAAATTTCATAACTGGCTCCAAATCCCCTCTAACACCTCAAACTGATGCCCGTCGCTCCAAAATTAGTCAAATAAGATGGAACCCAATCAAAATATACTCCAATACTCATAATTAATCAATTTATAATATTTTTCAACTCCGCTCGAAAAATCGATAAAACAGCCCTCAAGCCCACATGCCCGAATTCCAAAACATTTCGAAGACAAACACTACCCATAGCACTATGAACTCAAATATATAATTTATTCTCAACTTCATGCCCAAATTCGTGATCAAAATCCAAGAATATCAATTTCTAGTTTTTTCTTTAAAATCCCAAATTAAGCCAAATCCCGCTCTTAAAACGATTCTGCCTAGCGATTTTTTTTGCACCTGCGGTGCCTTGGCCGCATCTGTGGTCCCTCACCAACGGCAAAATCCTCGCAGGTACGCATTTCCCTTACCTGGCCAAGCTCCACATCTACGGACAAAAGGGATCTCTTCTGCGAGCCCATCCCTTTCTGCGACCACTGCTCTCGCACCCACGGTCACGCAAGTGCGCCAAAACTTCTACACTTGCAGTGGCTGGGCTACCCTCACTCATTCGCTTCTGTGGCAGCAACTGGGAGCTTCAACTGTTGCTCCCAATTTCCATCTTGGTCTGAGCCTCGTCCGATTGCCGCTTGGGGCCCCGGGGGCGCCCGAACATACCAACAAGTTTGGAATCATAAAATGGACTCGCTCGAACCCTCGGAACACCCGAAACAACATCAAAACTAAGAATCGCACCCCAATTCAAGCTTAATGAACTTTAGAACTTCAGACTTCTACATTCGATGCCAAAAACTTTTAAATCACACCTGATTGACCTCAAATTTTGCACACAAGTCACATTTGACATTACGGACCTACTCCAACTTTCGGAATCGGAATCTGACCCTGATATCACAAAGTCCACTCCCGATCAAACTTCTCAGAAACCTTCGAATTTCTAACTTTCGCCAAATGACCCTGAAATGACCTACATGCCTCCAAATCCACTTCTGGACGCGCTCTCAATGTCAAAATTACCATACGGGGCTATTCCCAGACTCGGTATCCCAAACGGACATCAATAACATTGAAATACACCTCAACCTATTTTTTATGAAATTCTTCCAAAATGCCAACTTCCACAATAGGCGCTGAAACGCTTCCAGGTCATCCAAAACCCGATCTGGACATACGCCCAAGTTCAAAATTATCATAAGAACCTGTTGGAACCTTCCAATCCCGATTTCGAGGTCGTTTACTCAAAAATTAAATCTTAGTCAAATTCTTCCAACTTAAAGTTTTCGAAATGAGAGTTTTCTTTCCAAATCAACTCTGAACTTCTCGAAAATTAATTCCGATCACGCGCACAAGTGATAATACCCGATGTGAGATTACTTATCGACTCAGACTGTCGAACGACACGCTAGTACTCAAAATGACTGGTCGGGTCATTACACTAGTATGTAGCCTCGAATGGAAGAGTAACCAAGTGAAAAACTTGTCCTTGTTAAGAGCTTTTAGTTTTCAAATTCAATTGAAACAAACTTCTTGAGTTGGTGGGGAAGTCATATAAGATTATAGAAAATAATAGGCAGATTTAGAAGAGCAGTGCATGTTACTAGTTAGTCCCTCATATGAGATTATCATTCTCCTTGTTGTAAATTGGAATGAATGTGTTGTTGATATTATGGAGGAGTGTATCATAAATGTTGAAGAAGAGGTTGCTCAGATCTATTTTCCATTAACAAACAATGAGGAGATTTTGACATTGCAAAAGATAACATTGTCTAAGAGGGCATGTTTGTGATTCAGCTGTCAGTAAGAAAATTGACTCTA